TATCTATCTATCTATCTATCTATCTATCTATCTCTCTCTCTCTCTCTCTCTCTCTCTCTCCCTCTCTCTCTCTCTCTCTCGCACATACACACCCACAAACAAAGACACAAACAGACGACCAAACTAACACAAACATAAACAAAAACACACAAAAACACACAAAAACACACAAAGACACACAAAAACACACAAAAACACACACAAGAACATCCTCACAAAAGTTCCATAATTCATTCCATTCTATTTCTCACCCCATATTCTCCACCCACATCTCTAGTGCTCACCAATGATCTCTTCCTTCCACTCCACTCGCTAGTTCGGGGCAATCACTTCACCCCCAGCCACAGTGGGCCATTTCCCCGCAATGAGTCTGCAGTTGAAAAGAACGACATGCTTTTCATTACTCTTGTGGGGCCTCTTCCTCACCCCCCTGGTCAAATCGATGGGTGACAATAGGTGGTCAGGGGAAGACAAGTTTTAATCATCGCTTATTGGCGCGTCTTAGGGCTCCACACGTCTGCCGCCTGAAGCATGGACCCCTCTGCGCATGTCCGGGTCGGTAGCGGAAGGAAGTAGTAAGAGGGGAGAGGACCGGCTCGCCGCGGGGGAGGGTGTGAGTCGTCCTCGGGAGTCCAGAGCTGCTCACCTCTGTCGCTCGTTTCGAGCGAGGCACGTGATGTCTGTCTAGTGTGAGGCAAGCGGCTCGGTGTTTACACAGTGCGTGTCAATTACTTCCGTTCGATGGTGCCTTGGGTGTGATTTACAGGGACTTCCTAGTCGTACTTACCATTTGAGGCCGGGCATGTGCTGACGGTAATGCGCTTTTTGTTACTATCTGTCATAGGTAGCCTTCTAGAGACTATGTATCTGCCTGACTTTGTCTACCTGGAATAATTGATTTAGATATCAATAAACTCATCGTGGGTTTTTGTGTGCGTGTGGTTTTGTTTCTGTTTTTTTGCAAGTAATAAAGTGTGAACATGATCACAATAACAATAAGGACAATAATGATAATGTAATTTAACAATGTCAAAAAATAATATTAAATAATGATGATGTTACTACTACTACTACTACTACTACTACTACTACTACTACTACTACTACTACTA